CATGTTTTTTTTTTTTTGATGCTTATTGTGCTGCTGCTGAACATTATTATTATTTAAGTGATGATTATTCTCATTCTGATTACGCTGATTATTATCAAGATGTTCTTTTTTTGGAGATTACTATTATTATTGTGCTGATTATTATTTTTATTAAAGTGATGATTATTCTCATTCTGATTAGGCTGATTATTATAATTATGCTGATGATCATTATTAATATTTAAGTGATGATTATACTTATTCTGTTTATGGTGATTCTTATTATCTTGTTTATTTTTTTAATGATTATTATTATTATTGTGCTGATTTTTATTATGATTATTTAGGTGATGATTATTCTTATTTTGATAACGCTGATTCTTATTATCATGTATTTTTTTTTTGATGCTTATTGTGATGCTGGTGACCATTGTTATTATTTAAGTGATGATTATTCTTATTCTGATAACGCTGATTCTTATTATGTTTTTTTTGTTGATTAACATTATAATGGTGCTGATTATTATTTTTATTGTTAAAATGATGATTATTCTTATTTAGATTATGCTGATTCTTATTATTATGTAAGTGATGATTATTCTTATTCTGATTAGGCTGATTATTATATTGCGCTTATTAATAAAATAATGTTTTTATTGTTTTTATGAGTCTTATTATAATTATGCTGCTGATCATTATTAATATTTAAGTGATGATTATACTTATTCTGTTTATGGTGATTCATATTATCTTGTTAATTTTTTTAATGATTATTATTATTATTGTGCTGATTTTTATTATGATTATTTAAGTGATGATTATTCTTATTTTGATAACGCTGATTCTTATTATCATGTATTTTTTTTTGGATGCTTATTGTGATGCTGCTGACCATTGTTATTGTTTAAGTGATGATTATTCTTATTCTGATAACGCTGATTCTTATTATTATGTAAGTGATGATTATTCTTATTTAGATTGTGCTGATTCTTATTATTATTATTATTTTTTTTTTTTGATGCTTATTATGCTGCTGCTGATCATTATTATTATTTGAGTGATGATTATGCTCATTCTAATTTCGCTGATTATTATTATTGTGCTGA